ATAGAGTAGAGTAGAGTAGTGTAGTGTAGTGTAGTGTAGTGTAGAGTAAGTAGTGTAGTCTAGTGTAGAGTAAAGTAGAGTAGAATAGAATAAGCAATAGAATAGAATAAGGAACAGAGTAGAGTAGAGTAGAATAAGGAATAGAATAGAATAGGAGTAGAGTAGGGTAGGTTGGAGTAGAGTAGAGTAGAGTAGAATAAGAAATAAAATAGAATAAGGAATATAATAGAATAAGGAATAGAGTAGAGTAGAGTAGTGTAGTGTAGTGTAGTGTAGTGTAGAGTAAGTAGTGTAGTCTAGTGTAGAGTAAAGTAGAGTAGAATAGAATAAGCAATAGAATAGAATAAGGAACAGAGTAGAGTAGAGTAGAGTAGAATAAGGAATAGAATAGAATAGGAGTAGGGTAGGGTAGGGTAGGGTAGAGTAGAATAAGGAATAAAATAGAATAAGGAATAGAATAGAATAAGGAATAGAGTAGAGTAGAGTAGTGTAGTGTAGTGTAGTGTAGTGTAGAGTAAGTAGTGTAGTCTAGTGTAGAGTAAAGTAGAGTAGAATAGAATAAGCAATAGAATAGAATAAGGAACAGAGTAGAGTAGAGTAGAGTAGAATAAGGAATAGAATAGAATAGGAGTAGGGTAGGGTAGGGTAGGGTAGAGTAGAATAAGGAATAAAATAGAATAAGGAATAGAATAGAATAAGGAATAGAGTAGAGTAGAGTAGAGTAAGTAGTGTAGAGTAGTGTAGTGTAGAATAAAGTAGAGTAGAATAGAATAAGGAATAAATAAGGAACAGAGTAGAGTAGAATAGAATAGAACTGGAAGGGACCTTAGAGGTCTTCTAGTCCAGCCCCCTGCTCAAGCAGGAGGACGCACAGTATACTATTTCGGATAAGTGGCTGTCTAGTTTCTTCTTAAAAACCTCCTGTGAAAACCGGTCATAAGTCACCTTTTTCAGTGCCATAGTAACTTCAAACGGTCACTAGTTGTAAGCCAAGGACCTCCGTGCATAAGGACGGAAATCTCCTACTTACAAACACCAGCCCTTCCTCGACCCCCATATCGAGCCTTGACCATTTCCTCCCCTCCTGAAAAGGATCCCTTCTTCACCAGCTTGAAGGGGAAGAGCTGACCAATTGGAGAAACTGTTGACCGAAGCAACCTTGGAATGACTTATTATTTTTTTAAATTAAAAAAAAAAAACTTTCTAGGAAAGGGGAGAGTTGGCGCCAAGACCGTCTAGTCCTCAACAAGGAAGCCATGTCCCTCAAAGTCACGGATAACTTTATACCTCTCCTGAACGAAGTCGGGGAAGATTTCGTCAAGAGGATGGAGACGAAGGTTGGAATCAGCCCGCAAGATAAATGGACGACCGATTTGACTCACGAGCTTTTCCGGTTCGCCTTGGAGTGTGAGTGGAAGGGAAGGAGTTGGATTGGGACGGGATGGGAGGGAGGGGGAGTCTCAAGAATTAGGCACCATGTAATTTCCCCCCCCCCCTCCTGCGTAGACTACAGGTAGTCCTCAACTTGCAACAGTTCATTTAGAGACTGTTTCTTGCGGCCCACCAGTGGAGCTGGCAGCAGACTCGGACAGTGAGGAGGTTGGGGAGGAAGATGGGCCAGTCCTGGAGTCTGGAGAAGGCTCTGATGAGGGCTCTGTGTTGGAGGGCAGAGAGGGGGGCCAGAGCCGTCTGACAGTTATCAGCTGCCTTCGGAGTCAGCCATCAGTGAGGCAGAAGAACAGCTGGAGCCTGTTCCCAGTGTGAGCATGTGCAAAGCTGCCAGACAAAGGGAACAACTAAAGAACAGGGGTCAACTTGGGAGTAA